AGTTCCATTACTTTTCTGTTTGTTCCAATTCCCATTCACAGTCTGTTTGCCTTGCCAATTATTATTTTTTGTCGAGCGGGGGGACGGAGTTCGGTAGGTGGAAATATTTACATGCATTTATTTGATTGCCAATTTTTGTTGCCAAACAATATAGCATTAGTAGCCTATTTTTTTATGTATATAATTGCTAGTCAAAAATGCGTTTTATTCCAAGGACATTATCCTCATTGAGCTGGCAAGAAAGACAAATAAATAAATAAAGTAATGAAAGAAGAACTCCATAAAGAACACTTTGTGTATATTTCGGAATAATCTCAATCCAAGCCTCTGACCTGTCGTTCCTTCTTACTTTCAACTGCAAAATCCCTGGCAATCCTTTCAACCAAATTTAGGAGGTCCAACCCGACGCTTTATGACCACATCCAGATGCATAACTCGAATCCAACCCCAGCCTCAGCTCTTTGGGGCAAGTGCTGCACTCTGGCAAAACTGGTGAAATTTATTTGAATGGCCATTGAGGCATCTTGAGGCCACTCCGAGAAAGCAGCCGGAGGGCAGAGCAGAGATGGATATCCACGGACTCTTAGCTCAGCCTCCATTAGTGGCCAGCCGCCAGCTAATGGACGTTAATAGGGCGTTAAATTGCCTAATTGTCGATTATGGCTCTCGGAGCGATAAGGTACCACAGGGAAAGGAGAAAAAGTAGCACATAATTTTGTATGCCCATTAATAAGCCTCGGCTTCAGACTCTTCGTAATACTTATGTTTTGCACTAAGAAAAATATGGATATTTAGTAGTTTATCCTATTTATTGTTTGTCATAGCTTATCATTAATTTAAGGACTATTTTCATATATGGTTAGATAGTAAAGATCTAGGCTTTCTATATATGTATATACTCTTTCAGGGCATTATAATTTTAATCAGGAGCTTAAAACGCATTGAAGAAATCATTTATGCCCGGCAATAATTAAATTTTTTTCAAAATTTTGAAAATTTGATAAGGGGTTACATCGTTAACATTGTCAAAAATGAAAATTTTTTAAAATGTTTTATAGCTTAAGCTAATTATGCAGCTTTGTCAACCAGTTAAAAACTAACATAGGAAAGCTTTTCGAATTGAAATTAATGTATTTTTGGCTTAGTTATGCTGATTTGAATAATCAATTTGCAAGGGTATAGAAACTTCGACTTCCTTAAGATAGCTTCTCTTTTCCTTCTTGTTATTAACTGAATTGAAATCACATTTTAAAGTCAAATATTCCACAAGGGGTTTAAGCTCGACTTAACCCACTTTTTCTCTGCGTGAACCTTTCCGCTAGACGGTCCCTGAAGTGAACTATGCCCTGACCGGGCGGGAGCTTTATCCTTAAAGCCGAGTTAAGGCAGCTTTCCCAGGGCATCCTCCCGGACTTTCCTCCCTTCCTGGCGTTGCCGTTGCAAGCAAATTTTCTGCTGCTCAAAATGCAATGCAGGGAATGCAATATAAGCGATGCGAGAGCCACTGAATGGGAAAGCCAGAGGAGAGGCTGGAGCAGCACAGCACCATGGAGTGGTCTGGGCAAAAATGCCGACAGCCCTGAGTAACGATACTTACACGCTTAACGTGTCAGCAATTCAGAGAACCAATATATATATAAATTTGTTTTCGTCTTTGTCATTTTAAAATGTTTGGAATTTAAAAATTAGTTGATTGGGAATTTATATATTGATCGCTTGTGCTTTAGGTCAATCAATAAAGACCTGCCTGAAGTCCCAGGCAGATAACTTAGTTGTTTGCTTGGGGAATTTATGAAAAATTTTCTAATATACTTGACATACTAAATATATTCTTTAAATTTAATTTAAGAGAAAGGTTTTCTCTTTACAATTCCATTTTTAAATCATTTTATTTACAGATACTGATGACCATTAATATATTATCCATTAAACACATATATTATAAACAGACCAGTGCATGGAGTAAAGTCCATCAGCACAGCCGCTTTAAGGATCATTCATGTTGCCTTTTTTTGGGTGCACTTTTGTTTCGTTTTGAAAAATATTTCAGTTTCGTTTTTAGTCCTGTGGCAAACAGCCAAATTGTGCGGTGGGCGGACACTTCACAGCGTGGTGCACTTTCTGCCATTTCTGGCACGGGCACTCCAATGGTTGCGTGGCGGGGTGTCCTGGCGGGAGGAGTGGAGTGTCCTGGCGGGAGGAGTGGAGAGGAGGTCATAGCCAGGGCGGGAACGCAATGAACAAAACGCCTGGCCATGACCACTGTGAATTGTGACTGCAAATTGGCCTGTCGGTTTTGCGGTGCAATTAAATTTAATTTAGAAGTCAGTCGACCCAAACGGTGTTCGGTGCTCTGGCTGACGAGCCAGCCTGATGCAATTAGCAAAGATCCATTGTCCTGTCGAGAGTAGTCTTCTCTCATGGTCTTTGGTCTGTAGCCGAGGCCAGGGAAAGTAAACGAACATCAGATGTCTGCACGTCGAGAAAATAATTGTTAAGAAGATGTGTTTTCCTGTTTTCAAAGACTTTCAAGGTTTTATATTGTACGTATTTTTTTTATTCTTTCTCAATGAACACGCCAACCTTCGGTTTGGAAGCCTGTTTGGGCACCGCAAGGACCTCTGGTTTCCAGAGAAAATTCCACTTAATTTTAAATATAGGAAAGTGAACAAAAATCTCAAAAAATCGTTGCCACAGAAAATATTATGGAGAGAAAGTTAACTTTTGTACTTAATCATTTAATTTTAAGTTTGTCAGTTATATTATTTCCGAAGTTCATTTACTCGACTTATTAAACACGATTTAAACACAATATGTTCTTGTATTGAAAAATCCGATAAATGCCAACATCTCCAAGTGTGAAATTCGACATCAAAGGAGGTGCAAACCCTGCAGGTAGAGTCCCCCTTGGTTTCTGGCTCACGTCACCCGAGAAACACACACACACTTCAAGTACCCCTTTCGGCCTCTGTGCGTTCAGTTTGCTTAGTTGGCTTCTCTATTTTTGCATCCTTGAAAGCTTTTGCCAACAAAGCATCGGAAACGAGAGCACCCGTTCAGAAACTGTTTTTGTGGCTTGGCGGCAGCGTCGGCGGGGCATATAACATACATATAGAACAGAGAGATAGAAAAGAAAAGCCCACACACGTTTTCCCCCGGGGGAAAATGTTTCGAGTGTACAATTTTGGCAACAACATACTTTGGGAGAGTCCTCGACAGAGCAAGCGGTGGAGTTGGCAAAGTAATGCAAATGTGGATTAAGCCAAATGGGTCAGCAATCGGGTTTCGATTGGCTATTCACCAAATGCAAAATTGATGACGAGGTTGGAATCTCTAAATCAATTCGGATTGTGATCTGCGCATGAATAATATTGGGAATAAATATTAAAGTTTCAAACAACTAAAGTTGCGATCAGCTTATAAGTATAATTAAAGAGTAAATTGTTTCATACATTGCACATTAAATTCCAAACTGCAAATTTACTATAGGTTATTTTCCTCTCATCTGCCCAATTAGCCAAGCCAGCTTTTATTTATTAAATTTGCAATTAAAGCTTATATACATACACATAATATAATTACCATCATTGTTAGTTGGGGATCTCCAACCCTAGTATAATTTTCTTTTGTTTTAAATATGAGTGGTTATGGTTTTTATAACATGCTGTGCAAAATGCAATCAAATCGGCAAATTCAAAAGCTGTTTAATTAAGGTTTACAATATTTCACTATAGCTTTTTTTCCAATGTAAATATTTGCATTACCAATTTGTAATTGTTGCCAGTAGCTCATTAAAATCAGCAATTGAATCAAATTGACTCCACCGATGATGATCCACCTCAACCACTCCACTCAACCGACTAACAAGTGTCCACAAGGACTCGAAAGTTTTCCGCATTTGTCTTTCCCCTCCTGCCACGTCACGTGTTGGAGTGTTGGAGTGAGCTAAGCGAAGCCTCAACATTCCGGCACCCGCTGAAAAACCCACTGGAAAGCAAGTGAAAACTCAATTCAATTTCCGTCAGACAGACAGCTGCACATTTCCACTTGAACACTTGCATTTATCGCCTGTCGAACCGTGCCAGTTTTGTTGGTGTTTCACTTGCTGCAGTTGGTGCTGAATAATGCCATATCCTCATCTCTCTCCATCCTCTCCAGCCCTGGAGGACTTTTATCTGCCTATTTGTAGTACCTGCAAGTGCTGCACCTATGCGGGCTGTTTGGCTAACCCGAGCTGCTTTTATGACTCTGGCGGAGACTCATTTAAATAAGCTGTCAGTTGTGCCTATTTAAAGAAATGTGAGTAAGCTATCAGGCAAGCTATTCAATCTCCGGAGTAAGACCCCAGGGAACCCTGAGGCTAGGACTGGGCATATAGGTAAACTCACACGCAGTAAAAGTAGAAACTTAAAGCTATAGCTTTTCATTTTTAACAAGTTTAGTTTGAATTAAGTACAAGTGATTATAGCCTTACAAGGAGCTCCCTGTTTTAAACCATATTTATTAGTTTTATTTCTAACTGTGCCCACTGTTGCAGTCCCTTCCTTTTAACCCGAAACCATGTTGCATGGCCGCAAGAGTTGGGCAAGCACAAAGGCAAGGATCCAAGACCGCTGAGGCTGCAAGAACAACAATGGCCGCAGCAGCCCAACCCCTTAACTCAACCTCAATGAGCAGCTCGGCCCGGAACGGTGGCGTATGAGTAACGTGCGGCTGGCGGCAGCAGCGTTTTGTGGGCTGTGTGGATTTATATAGCATAACTCCGGGGGCTACTTGTTGGATCTTCAAATATTTATGAAAAGTGAAGCAAGTTTTTCATCTGCAGCAAACTGCAGTGGCTTACTTTCCGCATCCTTACACTGGAAGGAAATTGCCAAGCAGGGAAAAAAGTGTTATTCTTAAGGAAATAGGAAAATCCAAGAAAAAATAAAATTAATAAATGTTATAATCAATATACTTATATACTTATTCGTTATTTATGTCTATGTTTTTCATTGCAGATGCACTCAAACTTGTGGATATTTATTTGGCGCCGCAAACTTTCCTTCCTGCTGGTCGTGTCTGGCCTGGTACTTTTCGGCCTTTGGACATGGGCCATATTAATCGATACAACAGCCCCCCAGCCATCTGGTCCCTTTTCCAGCACTGAACGACTGCAGCAGCAGCAGCAACAGGAACAGGCCACTGGTTACCAGCAGGTACACATCATCCAGAAGCTGATTGCACAGGCCAATAGAGTACTCCGTGCCGAGCGGCTTAAGGATAACGCCGCCGAAAAGGTACTGTCGCCCGTCCAACGCTTGGGGAACGTGCGATTCTTGCGACCCACGCAGGCCAAGAAGGCTCCCCTTCCTATATCCGAGAGCTATCTGTTCGAACAGGAACGCCTCAAGATACTTGAGCAGCAGCAGCGCCAGCGGAACGCCGGTATGGAGGAGCTTAACGCCAATGCCGAGGACGAGCGGATGCTTAGCTCGGCGGAGCGCCAGACGCAGTATGAGCACGAGTTGCAGCGCATGGGAGTGCCGGTGGTGGCTGGCATTGGGCCAGACGGTCCACGTGCCCCTGCCGAGCGCCTTGTCCACCTGGACCTCAAGGGTGCTCCGCCAAAGATAAGTTTCCTAAAGCAACTGCTGCCCATGCTGCGGGCCCTGGGAGCCACGGGTCTGCTCATCGAGTATGAGGATATGTTTCCGTACAGCGGAGCACTCCAGCCTCTGGCAGCGCATAACGCTTACAAGGAAGATGAACTTAGGGTGAGTTCATGCATTGTATTTACTAAACATAATTCGATATACATATATGGCATTTATAATCTGAATATTCCCAATATAGTAAGCTATTTTCAATTCCCTGATCTCTTTTAGGACTTCCTGGAGTGCGCTGCTCTACACGGTCTAAGTGTAATGCCTCTTGTCCAAACCTTTGGTCACATGGAGTACGTTTTGAAGTTGTCCGGGTTCGAGCAACTCCGCGAGTTGGCCGAGAGCCCTCAGTCGATATGCCCAAGCCAGCCGCAGAGCATGGCGTTGCTGGAGCAGATGCTCACCCAAGTGATCGAGCTGCATCTTCAGTGTCTGGGACATGCGACACAATCGTCCGCCGTGCCTTTGGCACCCATCCGTTTCACCCACATCCACATCGGTTGCGACGAGGTACAGCGCATGGGTGAGTGCTCCACCTGCCGCCAGCGACTGCGCAGTGAGCTCTTCCTCTCGCATGTGGTAAGCCTGGCGCACTTCATCCGCCGCCAGTGGCCTCAGTTGGGGGTGGTTATCTGGGATGACCAGCTTCGCTCAATGTCCCTCAGCGAGCTGCAGCACTCGCAGGTGGGCAGCTATGTGGAGCCCATGGTATGGGTATATGCCAGCGATATCTACCACTTTATCCAGCCGCAGCTGTGGGATACCTATGCCAAGGTCTTCCCCAGCGCCTGGACGGCCTCGGCCTTCAAGGGAGCCTTCGGGGAGAGCTTGTTGGTGCCACCCCTGCAGCATCATCTGGAGAACAACATTCGCTGGCTCGCAGTAATAGCCAAGGAGGGCGGCCGGTTTGCCAGAGGGCTGCGAGGTCTAGCACTGACAGGATGGCAGCGATACGATCACTTCGCTGTACTCTGCGAACTCCTCCCTGTAGGCATTCCCAGCCTGATGACGTCGCTGTCCACTGTCGCCAAGGGCTACTTCAGCACGAATCCTCGTGACAATGAGTTGCTGAGAGTGCTGCAGTGCGTCTTTCAGCCAGACAGCCGGCGGTCAGGTCGCCCCTGGCTAGAGCTGCATCCCAATGCCCACCACAGCCAGTTGTTTGCCGTGTGCAGTTATCCGGGCCACATGGTCTTTAAGTACGCCCTGCGACTGTTCGACAAGCTGGCCGAGATCGGGATCTATCTGCAGCAGACGCGCGATCAAAGCGCCTGGCTCTCCGACTACAATGTCCGGCACAACTTCAGTTCGCCGCTAAGGGTGCGGGAGTTGACCGCCCGGACCCCGATGCTGATCGAGGAGCTGCGGGCTATGGCCCGAGAGGCACAGCAGCTGCTGTGGGAGGTGTATGACGAGTACACGGTGACAGAGTTTGTGGAGCAACACATTTACCCCACCATTGCGGCGTTGCAGCGGCAGCTGGCCATTGGGGAGACGCTTCTTCAGAGGCGTACCTGGCCGCAAAGGCCGCTTCCGCTGGCTTTGAAGCTGCAAGAGGACATGGGACTGTTGACGAATCAGCAGCAACAGCAGCAGTAAAGAAGATGAGCTGCTTGATTGATCTGATTGGACAGGTAAGTTTGCTCCTTCACAAACTATTTTATGGGACAATCTTAAAAAAAAATCAATGATTTGAGAGCTAAGAACAGAGCAACGCACATCTCCATGCATACCCTGCTTTACACGTTTGGTCATGCTCATAAGACACCCTTAGCTTTTGCGTTTAAATTAAGTCTACATCAAAATTTACCTATTTCAGAGCCTGGGCGTGACTTCTTTTGATTGCATGTACTTTAATGGTACACGCCGGCTTGGCATTCAAGTCTGGAGTCTTTATTTACTCGCATAGTGATGGCGTTTGAAACGCCCAACATCAGGAGTGTTAACAGCACGAGCGGCACTTCCCGAGATCCATGATGCATTGCATTTTCAGCATGTAATACTAACATCAAATGTTCATTTTTTCTAGAGTACTTTGTAAGAAGCGCAACTATACAAGCCAAGAATAAACTAATTAATCAAAATAACTGTATCAAAACTGAAATAAATATCTTTAATTAACGTCTTCCACTTCAACGACTTGATTTCATTTTTAAATTAGTGGTAAATAGTAAAATGAATGCTTTAGATGGAAGTTTATACATACAATGAGTTATTTCAAGACAAATAAATGTTTTAAGAAACTGTTTCAAGTAATATCATTAGTCCATTTTCAAAATTTAAAGAAATTGTTTTGCGCACGCGTATGGAGATCGTTGCATTATGGGTCCCATTAATCTTGGATCTATGGATATCCAACATATTATTGACTCTGAGTACGCAGCCAAAATTGCCTCCATTCAGGATTTATATATGGGAGCCACCCTTCGACGCCCGAACGATAAATGTCAGATGCGATACGACACCATAAACGGTGACCACCAATGCTTCTGGTCGATTTGGAAAGGAAGCCGCAGGGGCACCCTACTTGGTACATATCAAGGCGGCAGTGCTCCTGATGACTTTCCGTCTGTTTAATGCTACCAAAGACACGACGACATGTGGAGCATTGGCCTCTCCGCAATGGCGCCACCTGGTATACTCCTAGTTTCACATTACAGGCGATGTGAGCGTACAATGCAAGCCATGCCTTCTTTTTATCACTCTTCGTAAAGTGGTAGTTGTCGATTCCTGGATTTACCTGGCGATCTTGCAATTGGGGAACTTCTTGCTCACTCGAAAAAGGGACCAGTTGATACTGTATAGAAGCCATTTGAGATTCGGGTGAATATGGATCAACTTACTCCGATTTCGATTGGATCAATAAATCTGCCTCCTACAGAGATAAGAAAGTCGAGTGCCGGTGGACCTAAGCAAATCTTAATGTTATTGAAAACTCACCTCCTTTTCAATCTTTAAGTATAGCTTATCGTAGCACTTTTGTAAACAATTATGCTTGGGCACTTCTTTTAAATCTTTAACAAAATTTCAACAAGCACGCTGCGAAGATCAGTGTTCACCAAAAATGGCGCAAAACTTAAGTGTGACCCCCGCGAAAGTTTTGAGATAGAAGAAGTTAAAGAGGGGTTTCTTTATCCAATATCAATACAAGAAAGACAGACTTATCAATTTGTAAATTCATTTTACTTTTCGTCGTTTAGTATGCATAACATAACTTAATAATAAATACATAAATTTTTTATTTTTAAAAAAAGAAAATTATTTGGCTTTTACGATCAAATTAAATAGTTAGTAAAGTGTTAGTGCTTAGAGCTAGAAAAGTAGCTTTGTTTTTTCTGTAATTATAATTAAATATTCAAACATATTTCATTGCAAAGCAAAAATCACCTTTAACGTAATAGGCTAACGGGTTTTCCCGCGTCCCATTTGAATGGTTGCGTAATGTAAGCACAGGGTTGAAAATACGTAAGACGATGACGAAAGCACGAAAGGACGAAAAAATACCAAAAGAGAAGAAGAAGCACGAAGCAGAGCAAAAAAAAAACACATGCTAGCGCAAAATCGATGAATAAACGTTAAAAGCGAACACCGAAAAAGGAAAAGTGCAGCGTGCTCAACAAAAAGTTAACAGAAAATATTCAAGGAACCGCCTACGAGGTTTTCCCAGGTTCCAATAAGTGTAGAGGGCGGCAGAACGAGCAAGTTGCAGAACAGTAAAAGCAACAGAAATGGGAATTACGGAAGCGGCAACACCAACAACAACCGGAATGGGAGCGGCAAACAATGGGGCATCCGCTGCGGAGGGCAAACAAATCCTGTCCCTGGAAATGTTCCAGGACATTTTCAAGCACGCGGAACCAGACGTCCAAATCGATGCCTTTGAGGTAATTAATTTCCCCTACCCTGCTCTAATTCGATTATGAAATCACCGAAACGGACACGTGTCTCTTCTTGCAGCTGGCCCAGGGCTCCGACCGGGGCGACAACTACACGGCCGCCTTATACCGCATCAATCTTAGTGGTAAGCGGCAGGGGCTCGACGGGTGCCATCACGAGTGGGAGCTGAACGTCATCTGCAAGGTGATGCCGGAGAGTGTAGTGCAGAGGGAAGCCTACAAGAGCGACAAGCTCTTCCGGTGAGAGTCCTTAATCCCTTGAAAGGTGTTCTTCTTATCTCACCTTTTTCGTTTCCAGTAACGAGGTGCAATTTTACACCACCATTATGCCCGAGCTACTAAAGTTCCAGGCCAGCAAAACAGGCCGGGACATGCCAGCGTTCAACGCCATTCCCAAGTGCTACACGGCCAGGCACGACCTGCTCATTATGGGTTAGCATGGCCTTGCAAATAACAAACATAAATTATACAACTAAAGATTCTTCATTCCCACACAGAGGACCTTCGCGAACGAGGCTTTCAAATGTCTGACCGCCACAAAGGCCTTAGTATGGAGGAAACACAGTCCGTCCTGCTTCAGGTGGCGCAGCTGCACGCCCTCAGTTTGGCGTACAAGTTCGAGCATCCACTGGACTTCAGCAAGCTGTGCAGCCTGATCAGTGAGGGAATCTTCTGTACGGCCAACACAAGTTGGTATCGAAACTACTACGAGCGGCTGACGAAGAACGCCATTAAGATGGTGTCCGAGGTGCTGCCCCCAGACTCCAAGTACGTTTTGGCAATTAACAATTTTGCCGAGAGCTCCTCATTCTTTGGTCGCATGGTGCAGTTGGCTAGCGCCGAATCGCCGCTGTCAGCCATCTGCCATGGGGATTGTTGGGTGAACAACTTTCTGTACCACTACGATCCGGAGGATCCGCAACGAGTGCTGGAGGTGGCCCTGCTCGACTTTCAGCTGATACGATACAGCTCCATTGCCCTGGACATTGCCAACCTGCTCTACTGCTGCACCACAAAGGAAATGCGGGATGCCGAGCTTCAGACGCTGCTCAACACATATACAGAAGAGTTATTCCGGTGGCTACAAATACTGTGCACACGGCTACCGGACCACTGTGACACGCTAGAGAAGCTGCAGGATCTGTAAGTCAAGCTTTTTAAGGGAAATCATAATATAAATTCCCTTTTTCGTGCACTCTAGGTTTGCCGAAGAGCTGAAGACCTACGGCCGTTTTGCTCTAGGCCTGGCCATGGACATTATACCAATAAGCACCTGCTCCTCCGAGGATGCCCCGGATATGTATCTGAAGCGCAGCGGAGACGATCTTGAAGAGGATGTAGGTGCGCCCACGCTCAACTTTCCACCCAACGATCTGTGCCGCCAAAAGATGTCCGAAATAGTCATCGATATGGTCGATCGGGATATGCTCTAATCTACAGTGCAACCCGAAGCAAGAAGGAATGCGTGCTGTCTGCCAAAACACCAATTAACAATAACAAAAGCTCAGATAGCGTGCTGCTCAAGAGCTGATGATACTCACTTAATCCTTAGTTCTTATGCAAGCTAGTAAATATTATCCTTAGATTAGCAGACTTGATACATTAAGGGTTCCCCCGCCAAACTTTATGTTCTGTTTGGTTTCTTTAGCTATGGTTAACACTAAACTATGATTATTTTTCAAAACTGCGGCCAAAAGTATACTATAATTCGTGTTTTTAAATTGTTTAGGGTCATATGAAATCCCATTTTATTGTGGTAAATAAGAAAATGTGGACACAATTTGACCCTCGCAAGATTTGCAATTTCAAGGACTTGAAATCAACATTTGTATAAACGGGACGTTGAGAGAACTCCTTTAGTTTCCAATTCAACAATGGGAAAAAAGTGAAAATTAACAATAAATGTATAATTTATTATAATTGGCCTAAGGAAACCCAAGCCGCATAGAAATCGTATGGAGTTTTTCTAATCTATATTCTTTATACAAAGCAATAAACTTTAAACTTGTAACAGACCTAATAGTCTGCCTTGGCCGTCCAGGTGGCCTTGTTGGCTAGCACACCCTTGTCGCAGTTATCGCGCAGAAACCTCAAACCCGCCTCAATAGAGCGCTCCAGGTCGGCCTGGGACTTGGCCCTCTTCGCTGTCGGTGGGCCAGCAGTGTCATCCAGTCCAGGTGGCGGTGGAATGGCGGCACCCAGGCTACGACCGGAGGTACCTGGCTCTTCATCGAAATTGTCGTCGTTGCCGGGGGTGTAGTTGCGTCGCTGGAATGTCCGTTCCCGCTTGGTGGTGTGAAAGTTGCAGAACTCTTGCTCCACTGACCCGCCTTCCCACGTCGGAGGCGGTGGCATGCTGTTAAAGTTGCTGCGCTTGAGAGGAGGTGGCGGCTCTGGCATAGGAGCAAACTCTGCTTGCCGCTGAGCACGTTGCTTTTCGTTCCACTCTTCCTGTGACATGGGTAGCCGCTCGGCCTTGTACTTCCACTCTTCCTCCTCCTCGGGTGATTCTGAGCCCCGTCGCTTGGTGGCGACGCCGGGCTTATCTCGATCCCAATCCCGTACGTGCTCCTTTCTTAATTCTTGTAGTTCAGCCTCCTCCTCTGCTTTCTTTTTGTCGATGGCTTCCTTCTTCTTCTGCTCCTCCTCCGCCCGTGCCGTGGCTTCGGCAGTTTCTTTATCTCTCTTTTGCTGCTGCTCGAGCTCGTATTCCGCCTTGCTGATCGGTGGCATGCCGTTGCGTGCCCGTATTCTGTTCTTGGCGGCGAGCACTCGATCGGCTATGAGCAGGTCCCGCTTTTTGCGCATCTCATCGCGTCGGGTCTGTTCTGCGGTCGTGGCTTTTCGGGCTTCTTCTAGGGCGATTTGCTGTTGCTTGCGTTCCTCCTCGTCTGTGGAGAAGGCGTAATAGCCAACGCCATGGGTGCGCGCCTCGTCGAAGAAGACATCTTGATAATGGACGTCAGGTTTGTCGAAGTTTTCCTGTTCCTTCCGCTCCCAGTTCAAACGCTGCTCGTCGTGCTTTGTCATTGTGGACAAAGCATCGCTGAAGACGCTTTCCGGAGGTGGTGGTCCATAAGTGGGCTCGCCATCGTTGTCGTCATCGCTGCTCTGGGCACGACTCCCTTTGGTATCTATCATCCAATTAGCCTTCGTTTGATCGAGACGCTCGGGCATGCTCTCGGCCAGCTGTCTGTCGCGCCTCTTAGCCTCTAATAGCTCTTTTCTCAGGCACTTTCTAGTTCGACCCAGGCAATCGACGTATTCCACTTCGTCATCCTCGTTGCCCTCGTTCTCGTCTTCGCTTGAGCTACTACTGCTACTCTGACGTTCGCGGGTCTCACATTTCTGTGGCAGGTGCTCTTCGTTCTCCTCCTGCTTCTTTCGATTGAACATCACGAGGCAGTTGTCATCAGAGTTGAGGCTGCCACCGCTGCGGCTCATCCTGTCGTAAAACTTGCTCTTGGCCTCCAAAACCCGGCGGGACTTGGCCAACTGGTCATAGTCCTCTGCCTCGTACACTTTGGCGTCATCTCCACTCTTTCCGACAGCCTTGTAGCCGAGATCCTTTGACTTCTTGTCGCTGCTGCTTTTACTGGGCCGAAACTCATTTGCAGGCGGTTTGCTGGCCTTCGCATTCCTGACCTCAAGCTGCTTCCGCGACAACTCCGCCTTCAAGCTGAGCAGTGAGGAGAGATTTACACTGATCGCTTTATTAGGATCGTTCATTTTTCATATTAAAAAAAATAACAATAATAAATAGAAATATTCGTTAGTGTCGCCGTCGGCTTTTATGTTAATAACGTTAAAAATTCTGAAAAAGAGTGAGTTTTCCCTTCAACGGCGCCTGGTCACACTTAAATGAATGCGTTGCCAGACTGTGCAACTAAGTTTTATTTTCCGATCTTCACGTCTCATTTTAGTGAACTTCGAGTGCATGCAAAACAAGTAGATTTTTCCGCGAAAAAGTGCCGGAAAGCCCCCAGAATAGACAAATTCGCAGACATTGTGATCATAGTGTAGTGGTAGCTAATATTGAACGTGGAAACAGCTGTTTCCATTCAACCACGTACTAAATGGCCACACTGCGCAAGGTGGAAATAGAAGAAGAAGGCCCACAAGTGTTTATTTACATTTTGCAATGTCGAATTCTGGCGGAGATTTCCAGGTGGTGACGCGTAAGAAATGGATGGCGAGGAAGTGTCTTAGGCGGCGGGACCGCCACAAATCCGAGAGCGACTATCTGAACGATTGTCCGGACGTAAATGTTGAAAAATTCCAACCGTAGGTTGTTTTGTTTACCGCAGACACAATTTCTTATTGAATAATCAAATTCCAGGCGCCTGGAGCGCTTGTGCACGGAGATGTGTCAAAGCGACTACTTCCTAGTTGCCATGGAAGCGCTGCAGCAGCAGGTGGAAGCTCTGAAAAGACCGCTTAAGAGAATTGTGTGTTTGGGTCTGGGACCCTTTTCCCGCACCCACCAGGCGCTCCATCAGGCGGCCTTTGTGGTCAGTCTGCAACGGCATTACAAGATCAACGAGGCTCTCTATTTCGATCCTGTGTTCAGGGACACCGAGAAGGAGTTGATTCGCCTGTTTGACGGCTGCGTGATGAGCGAAGACAACGCGGGAAGAGACGAAGCGACGCTGCCTACGCTCTATTATTTGCCTCACTGCCCCTACGCGCTGATGCACAACATATTGTGGTCCAATTGGCAGCGAGACCACCTACCAAACGTTCTTCTCATCTCGAACAGCTTCGAGATGCTGACGATGGCTCGAAGGAATCAGGAGGACCACATTACGCGGATAGTCGAGTATTGCATAGAAACGCAGCTGGAAGACGATTACGAGCACCATAATGTGTTCAATGACCTTTCGTTGCATACTTTCCCGCTCGACTCCCTGCCATCCAGCGACGACGAACCTTTCTGGACACGATCTGCTGCTCCCTTGAAGGTGAACGAGGATGAGCTCATCACTGAAGCCGACACAAATTTTGCTGCGCTGAAGTTGTAATTCTTTATATTATAGTTTGCATTTTTTATTTTATTTTAACCTATTTGTACTCGGGGGCGTTACGAATCTAAAATGCTGCCCATACTTATAGGCTCATAAACTTGTCCAGCTGCACCTTCTCTTCTTTGGCAGCTGCTAATTTTCGACCTCTGGCTCTTCTTTTCTGTGCGGCCTTACAAATGCGACGAAAATCTTCGCGTTGAGCGGGCGTTCTCCCCTTATGGACTGGCTGTCTCCTGGGTCGAACCCGCTTTGTGGGTTCTGGGCTGGGCAAGGCCGTCCCACGTCGCTTTACAGCCTTGCCATCCGCCTTCGCTGGGAAGGCGCAGGGCAGCAAATGGAGTTCTTCGTGTAGACGACCGCACAGGGTGGTCGAGATCGGTAGGTAGCTGCTCTGGGTAAGGAAGTTCAGATCGGTGGGTGACGACTCGGTTAACAGTTGGTGCAATAGAAAGCTCTGAGCTGTCGCCTCCTTTGTGGCTTGACATAGCAAGAACTTATCCTTGTATTTGGGAGAGTATCGCAGGAGAAATTTACCGGCAGGCACAGTGCCCAGTAACTGGAGGAATTCGTAGAGATTGGACAGTAACTGTGGCATACTCGTATTGTAATAGTCGTGCAGCAGCTGCTCCACTGTGAGCAGAGTGAGTTTCTCCTCCAGCATTGGCTCAAAGTCTCGGAGCGAAATGCGGGTGCAGTGGCCCATCTCTGCCTGCAGAAGCTTCAGCTGCAGCCAAGCCGATATCAGTTCGTATTTCGACATAATTTCGCATCCGCAGTCTGGTTTATTCTCCATCTTGATGAGGTGGCAACCAAGTGGTTGGTGCTTCCCCTGGGTGACTATCATTGCTGCTATGGAAAGGGTGGTAAATACTTGGAATTCTCGGATCTCCTCACCGTTGTTTCCCTTGCACCTCAGGCACCAACTAACCAGTGCTGTATTAGACGAGGTATCTTCGATGTCTGAAGAAAACTCGTCTATCAGGAGCGGCTTGTAGTTCATTTGAAGATTGCTCGAGGAAGCTGAAACCTCACTGTTAATAAGATCTGAAACCTCTCTTGTAGCTCCATTCGGTTCAGAGTTCAACCACTTGGCTTGTCCAGGCTGTGACATGTAGGCTTCATAGGCCTGCGTCAGGACCAAATTATTTGTATGCCAACCGCAGTTCCGCGCAGGAAACGGAGTATGAAATTCTATGCATTTGTGTCCCGCACTGGAGGATTCCCCTATATCGACGAACATCTCGGCAGGCACATCTACATATGACCCTGAGGTTAGGAGCATCAGAAGTGAGTCCAAAGGCAAGACGACAACATTAGCACCTTGCGACTCCTGATTTTTCTCTTCGTCTCTTAGCAGAGTAGGTGAATCTTTGAACTGCTTTCCAGAGTATCGATTCAAGCGCACATTCAGATTTCGCATGGCCGAATCATTGCGAAGTTCCAGCCCTGGCCAGATCCTGATGCGCCCTGCAACTCTCTCTAATTCTACCTCCTCTATGCTGACGGTCTGAGAATTGAGGCTCTTGCATTGGGAGAGCTGAGGCAGCCCTGAGAAGGTCACATACGACTCGTTGGCGTACATTTTCATCAGCTTATTTACGCTGAGCTCGTATAACTGCCCATAAATCGTTACTAGGCGCTTCATGGGCACATATAGGACCTCCCTTTGAGCGTGCTCATAATCGTGGATCTGCTTCTGTACCCGTTGCTGCTCGTTGCACCGCTTCTTCTCGGTGGCATGCCACACCACGAAGTCATCCTCTGCGACCTCTACGCTCTTCTGCCAAGCCAGTAGCACTCGCATACAGGCGGCCTGCTGCATCAGATTTAACTCCGAAAAGAGTCCGAGAGGATTTGGAAAATTGTAGCGGGGCTCCGCCCGACTGGTGGTGTAGTCACAAACGCAGGTCCGTGGAACTTCATTGGTGCGCGGATCCTTTGGTGCGGTACTGAGCTTAAAGGATGTAAAGACATCAGACGGTTCCTTGAGTTCAAGTCTCAGGACCTCCGGATCCACTTCATTCAGAAAAGTGTAAAGGGCATCATCCACATGCTCGAAGGATTTGTTAAAGACTTTATACGACGGCTGGTTCCGGAAGATGCTATTTCCCTGGTACAAGCTTGGATCCATATCGGGTCGATCCAGCAGGCTTTTTACGTAGATATTCGAAATCCTGTCAAGTATTTAGTTTTGATTTCGAGCGTGGTAAGAGTGCGACCATAGCGCGACTTTATAAAAATACCAAATCATAAAGTATCTGCAGAATTAATTCGACACCAATTAAAACTTTTTTAAATCGTTCTTATTATACAAATTAATATTAACAAAAACACGTTTTAAGTTCTTTCTTAATATAAAAAATAAAATATTTTGTGAAATAAAATATTTTGCTTTTCCAATTGGAAAATAACTTTTTTGGAAATATACTGTAAAATACTTTATAATATAGCGCCAATTTTAAATTTATGTTTATTTATTTAGTTATTTCCTAAAACCTTCTTATTTTTTCTTATTTCATTTTTCTATTAATGCCCTTACGGATCACCGTTTTGTATCATTATTTGGGCAACTAATGTTTGGTAATAATAAATTTAATGATCTCTATGGTACATTAACTTTGAAATGGAATTAAAATGCGGCTTTAAAAAGCATAAACAATTTGCTGTAACGCGCAGATTATTAATAATCATTAAATGGAAAATATGCGGCGTGTGCTCCTATTAATTATCTTGGGTTTTTGCTCATGCGCCAAATCCTTTAATTATACAAGCTGCGATCAGGCGAAGCAGCCGAAATTTGTATGTAATGCCATTGAAAGAAAGAATGATTAAACAAATTGATTTATTTTCCTAGATGAGCTCGTGCTGCGATGTCCAGAAAAACGACAAGTCCATAAAGGCCTGTCGAAAATCCTTGCTGACCAACAACTCCACCACTACAAATAATGGAGAGTCTCGTAATCTCAAAACGGATAAGGTGGCTCTGCATGCAGTAAGTTAAAATATTAAATTATTAAAACATTAAATCATGGAATAATAGCCTAACAAAATTTAAGGGCCGAGGATAAGATGAGTTGCATTTAATTCGAATCCAATTATTTATTTCCTAAACAAAAGTGCATTGCAGAGTGTTCCTTTAAGGCCAATGGATACTTGCTCAGCAATGGAACCGTCAACTTAGAAGCCCTGCAGAGAAGTTACCAGCAGCGCTATAGGAGCGACCAGACCATGGCCCAATTGATGGTGAAGAGCCTCAACAGTTGCTCGGATTACGGTGTGTTCAAATGGGATTCCGATCCCCATATCCTAGGTACTTATGTACGTTTATACATGTTTAAACAGCTCAGAAACGAGCTCAACAGTTTCAATGGATGCACACAAAGGGCGAGTGCGACTACTATCCCGCCACCCTACTGGCCTGCATCATGGAGCAGGTGTACGTCAACTGTCCCACGACCAAGTGGAAGAACACCAGCGACTGTGTAGCGATGCGGAAGTATTTGATAGCCTGCGATGATGTCAAGAGTGGCAGGAAGTAGTCACACGTCAAAATATGAGCAAATATATTGAACTATCAAGTTCTAGAATTTATTCTCCACACACTTGGAACTTGAACTTGGCTAGCTCAGCCATTCCGCACTCAATCACGTCGCCTTCCTTGAACGCATCCGATCCGTTGGGCGTCCCGGTAAGGATCAGATCGTTGGGTTCCAGGGTCATGAACTTGGACACATAGGAAATGATGTCGGGTACCTTGAATATCAAGTCGGCGGTGCAGCCCTTCTGTTTCACATCTCCATTAACTGTCAACCATAGTGGCAGGTTGTGAGGATCATTCACTTGGTCAGCGGGAATGAACTTGGAGACGGGCGTCGACGTGTCGAATCCCTTGCCGAGGGTCCACGGATGTCCAGCCGCTCTAGCTGCACCCTTAAACGTCGAAAGAATTGTGTATAAGAATGTGCTTAACAAAAGAAGGCGATCTTTTGCGTCCTTACCAAATTGCACTGAGCCGTGAGATCCAGAGCTAGGCAGTAGCCTGCTACATAGCTCATGGCATCTGCCTTGGAGACGTTCTTGCAGGGCTTGCCAATGACTACGCCCAGCTCCACTTCATAGGCCACCTTGGTAAACACTTTAGGAAGCTAAAAAAAAATTGAAAGTAATCTTTTATTTGAGATCAAAGGCCTTTCGGTGAGCACAGATTAGTATTCCCACTTTAATAGCCTCTTTATCTACTCCATACGATCACTTACCACTATGGACTGGCCCTCCTGGATGTAAGAGGAAGTGGGTTTCAGGAATACCAGCGGCTCAGTGGGCACGGGAACATTCCTGGCCTTTACGACGTCCCTGCAGCAGACAATGATCGGGATTACCAATTAAGAGCCCATTCAGGGATAGCACTAATTTACATGTAGTTAAGAGCCACTCCCACGATCTTCTTGCCGTCGGTCAAGAAGTTGGCGGCATCCTTGCTTCGGGAAGCCATCCTGAGCAAATGTGTTAGTTGAACCACTGAGAATATTGAAAATACGTTAAAACACTGATGTGATGCTAGCAGCTGCTGCGGTCAAATGAAAGTGAGCGTTTATGAATCGGCTGCCGGCAGGCAGGCACTTACTTGTGCAATGTTTATTAATTTAGAAGTGAGGGTTATCTGGAGAGGCGCCCCCCGCAAAAACTTTATCAATTAAGTAACGACAACAGAAAATAAAAAGAGAGCGATCAGGAGCAGTGAGGCTGTGTTCAAATATTCAAAATAGTCTTAAAAAAATACCAGAATATACCATTTCAATTAAAGTATCCATCCAATTAGAGGCAGTGTGACCGTTCAGTCGTATAGTGCTTCATCATCCGCAGAAACTTCAGCAGCTTTGTGTTAGCTGTCCGAATTTGGGCGGTAACTAGTGACAAACTCGTCTAAATCGACCGAACGAACATAAGTCTGAGCACTTACGGGTCGAAGCTCAGACACAACTCCGAAATCGGAAGCGCGGATCTGCTTTAAGAATGATTTGCCAAAGATATTCGTGCCACTGGTGAGAGGGGAGAGTTTCCCGTTTCGTGTCTGCCGTTTTCGCGCATCCCGCCTGCGGGCATACTGACAACGAGACCAGCGAATTGTAATTTTCTTTCGAGATAAAATTATATTAAATTGCTTACCGTGCTGCCGTGTGTGGTCCAAAAAGAGCGCCAGCGATAGCCACTGCGTGGTCCGCGAGTGTGTGTGCGTGTGCGAGGCGAAGTAGCAACAAAAGCAGCCTCAGCAGCAGCAGCGAGACGAATCCAAACACAGCCAACAGCCAACAAATTCTACAAACACACAAACAACAACACAATGATGAAAATGGAGACTGACAAAATAATGGACGAGACCAACTCCAATGCCCAGGCGGTGAGTGTGCAACTATTAGTGAGATACTATTGGGTTAGCGCCATTTCGGCTCCTGCTCTATGCAGTGCCATTGGATCGAATATACCTATTTATGTACATAATGCTCAAGGTGTCGCCTCCACACACGCACAGGCATACGCACACAGGCGCGTCTTAGGTGGCGCAAGTGTGTGCGTGCGTGTGTCTTATTTTCGTATATACTACAGAGATTTTGCACTCGTGCACTCTATTAAATTCGGCGGACACTGTCGCATTGGCTTTCCCCCCTTTCTCCGCTATCCAAACGCTAGCGGCTAACCTTAAACTTTTGCGGACCCAGGCGTTAGCCTAATTATTCAACGTCACCGCTGCCGCTGATCCGTCTCCTTGCCAAGACCTCTTCATGCCCAGCCTCTCGGGGGCCGGGTTCTCCAAGCTATTACCAGATTTCGGATTTCGTTAATTGGCCTCGAGTTTGTTTACACAATTAATAACACAGAAACCACACACAAAGTATGAATGTACATTCATCGGCCGTGTACATTTCAATCAGTATTTACTTTATTATATTGGATATTGGATATGTACTGGATACAGTGTTGAGGGTGATAGGCGGAGTACCAATGAAGGTCACCAGTATGTAAGCCCATTAAGCGGTTTGCCCAAAATCGGTTTTTATTTCTTAATTTCTTTTCTGTGCGGGGTTGGCAATAATATTTTGCTTGAGTCATCTTGGTTTTTGCTTGGCCCAAAAAAAAAAAAAAAAAAACCGAATCAAGGTGGAATCTGGTTGAAAGTAACACCCTGTAAATAGTCGAAACAGAGCATCCTTGCACTCAGCCCGCGTTCGCCTCACATCCACGTAGCCGGGCTGAGGCTAACCACTGAAGCTCGCAAAAAACCATAATATTGCACTTAAATTAAAATCGTACATAACATTTACGCTCACAGTGTTACTTCATACATAAAAGCAAGGTTTTCTGGCAGTCGCTGGCATTGCAGGTTAGCTTAATTACTCGAATCACTCACACCCGACTGTACGATTTGTTTACTAACTTTGTTTGCCGAGATCTTTGCGCTTTAAATGAATTGATGACGTATGATTAATGGGGGCGATCTTATTCGGCAATACCCCGGCCATCGATTGGGGTTCGCTATATTTAGCAGGCTGCGGCAGCGGCAGCGCCTAATGAGGATGGAACACCAAATAAACATCGATACAATTATTATTATTTGTATATATAGTATGTACTTTCCGTGTGAATGATCTGCGGCGGCTGGCAGCGACTCGACTCTAGCTCTAGTCGGGCCTTTTGTGAACTCTGCTTTGCCTACTCTTTCGCCGCCAAATAAAAACAAAAAGCGAGAAAATTACGGAGAAGAAAGAAACTCGGAACGGAGCTGAGCTCGACTAATTGCCCAATTGTAAGCCCCAAGTTTGGGGCTTCGTCGTCACTTGCCTAAAAACTTAGGAAAAGTTGCACAACCCGCAGCCAGCTACATAGCTACCTTTCCAGTTTTTACGATCATCGCCCCTTGACATCCATCCACATACTAGTTACTACTTACTATATCATCACAAACCGAATGCAATTTCATAATTAATCGGGCCCCGTTTTGTCCAACTCTTTTCCTCCATCTCTCCCGCACAGTTCACAACCACCATGCTGTACGACCCGGTGCGCAAGAAAGACTCATCGCCCACGTACCAGACGGAGCGGGAACTCTGCTTTCAGTACTTCACCCAGTGGAGCGAGTCGGGGCAGGTGGACTTTGTGGAGCAGCTGTTGTCGCGCATGTGTCACTATCAGCACGGCCAGATCAATGCGTATCTAAAACCAATGCTCCAGCGGGACTTTATCACATTGCTACCGAGTAAGTACCAATATAAGATACTATATAGACTACAGACCAATGGAGATTGAGTTTGGGTTCTGGTTATGAAGAACATTGATCTCTGGAGAATTCTTAGTGACAAGATATTCATAGAAAATTCTTTTAAGTCAAATGAGTTTTCAGATGCTTTAGTTTTGAAGGTGCTTAGGAGTGGTTATTTCCCTATACAATTATATTAATAATTACCCCTTTAGTACCTTTTGTTAGTCATAGTTTCTCATTTTAAAACAAGTAAGGTTAGCATGGAGGTCAAAACTGGAATACCCTTCAATATACATAAATTAGTTTCTGTCTGTGATCGAGTTTTGTTTAGATGTATCAGATAATGGTTTGCTAAAAACCTTGAACAAAACAACTAAATATGTTATCTCTTATGTACCCAAATCATTTTATTAATTAATTTATACACGCATCAGTATACAAATGATTTTTAAATTAATTGATATAAATTAAGCCCATAAAAGTTCTATAAATTAGTACACGGCTTCAGGGAAATTATTTATTTTGAGTGAGAATTGTAATACTCAAACTTAAAAATCATAAAAACTTAAGGCCTAATCTGTCAATTGGGTCATTGTCTGGGGTCTAAGGTTATCATGTAGCTAATTAAGTCATTAAAAAATAATCAATTCAAAGATCAAACATAATTCTTCAGCCTGTTAGTTGAAGATTGACAGTATGGTCCGTCCGTCACGTCACAGAGGCGTTATCAATGTCAATACTTTGTGCGAGAGGTCACTACTCCCAGATGGTTAAAAAGACCGCCTGTTGGCTGCTGATAAGCCAGTGGCAAAGATAACAGCCACCGGGGTGAATCAAACTTTAAGCCAAACCAAAACTCAAACTAGGAGCAGGATTCTATCCACAAGCCTTAGTCTTAGCCACGTTAACAGCGAATAGGACACAGAGGTCCGGAGTTTTAATCCCTCGGCACGCAATGACTGAAAACAATAACAAACGCGGCAGGTACAAAGTTGAACAACATGAAAGGTGGCTCACTCCAGCACAGAGGGGCCAGATCCCAGTGCCATTCATTCCGGGTTTCGGGTGGAGCCAGTGGGTGGGCCAGGGCTGTTGGCTGTGTTAACTGTTGACTGAAAGGTCGTTGCTTCCATTAAACGCGCTTTACCGGAACAGCAAACAAAACGAAAGCCGGAGCGGAGCAGCAAGCCTTGTATTTTATTCATAAGAAATTGTGAATCGATTTGTGGCCAGCTAATCAAAATCAAAACTGTTGGTCTAGTAACTTCTGGAACTGTAATTATATAGGATCAATGGCTTGCAATGAATCCGATGGGATTTTGTAAATAAGCGAGGGTTTATCAATGCATCGGATCGGTTAGGATCGTGTGTATATGTACATATATCGGTGACTCAACAAAGAGCGAGTCGTGCGTATATTATACCTTTGTTTATTTATTTGCATTCCCCTCTTTAAACACTTACTGGTTCTCTTCTTACCGAACTTATTGAACTTATTGTCTTTTCTGATTGTCAGCTGGAATGCAATTGGGAGACGTTACTCTATTTTCTTGCCTGGCACCAACAGTTCGGAATGTATAGAATGTTCCTAGAGGAAGTCGTAGGATGTTTCCGTTTGCATAATCCCTAGCAAATGTCCTCCTTGTTCTTGCTTGTAATACCACGCCTTTTAGAGTTGTAACACTTAAGCTTATAAATAACAGCCTTCATGGTTTATTTCAGAGCTATTGAAGGTAATGCTAGTTTGTGATCTGAATCGAAATAGACAGCAAATATAAATTATTCTACTCTTTACAAGCATTTATCCTACTATGCTTATGCTTTCTTGTTCCTTATTCCTGTTATATTTAACAATTTTCCTGGCATCACTGATGGTTCTAGGGAACGAATCGAAAAAGAGTTGAAAGTAGACAACATTGTCTCCTCCATTTACATTGTAATGCACTTCAAAGGCAGCTAACCGGGGGACGGAGTGACTGAGCGACTGAAGGACAGACAGGAGGACAAACAGACAGACGCACAGATGCACAGACGATGGATAGACACACTCTCAAGACCGTTAGTCGCCGGCGACGGCAAACAACTTGAGCCAAATCGCCGCTGCCGCCCGCCAGCCGCCTGCCATTTGCGAGTTATGCACATTTTTAATTGTGTTTGGCAAATGCAGCGAACGAGAACAGGGAGCTGAAGGTAGTAGGGAACACTCACATGCACTTCAGACTCTGGCCTGGCCCATCCAGCCCGTTTGTCAATGCTGATGGAGATGTACATGTGACTCTGGAGGTGGGGGTGGAGGTGGCCAGCCCCCACCAGGCACTCTACAACGCGCCGCTTGCTGCATTTGTGTGCGCACAAGACACATGTAAATATGCCGGTCTATTGGTTGCGCCTCCGTCACTGCCACTCCCACTCCCATTCCCACTTACTGGGCTAAGTGCATTTTAATGCCGTTAGGTGCATCATTTTGTCTCTCTTGTTTGTCGGCTGATGATGGGCGCCGAGTGGTTGGATTGCATTGGGATTTGGATTGGGATTGGGATCGGGTTGGGCTTTGGTTCGGTTTGGTTTTCCTGTGCGAGTGGGTGTCTGACAAGAGCGGCAGCAGCAGCAGCGGTTACGTCTGCTCCACCTCAAGTTACTTCATATCTGATGGCACATTCTGCCATGTGTCATATCGGAGATAACTGGGTGTCGACTATAAATAGCACACGGCTTAGTCACTAACTTGTCCACGGAGAGAACTAATTGAATCAGTAATATTTCCTTATTAAATTGATGTAATTAATTAAGGCAAAAAGATTATAATGAATGTTTCCCATTTATAAGACCTCTAAATGTGATTGCCATTATCATGCACTGTTAAAACTGTTCAAACTGCTTTAGGCCAATAAGTTTTTCTATTTGACTTGTGTCAAGACTTAGACTAAGACTCTAAATACTCCTGACTTGGGTTCAACGGCCTTTAAAAAATTGAGCTTCTAAAAAAAGGAAGGACAATCAAACCATTTTGATTTAATAACAAGAAATAAAATAACTTTGGAAAGCTGACATTTATAAACCCTTAAAACTTGGAATTAAATTATAGTATTAAATATATAATTGATCAAAATTAAACTTAAAAAATTCCCAATGTATGAATCGATTTTTTTCCACAAATCAAAGTTTAATGTACTCATAACTAAGCCAAAACAGCATAAATTTTAATTCGGAAAGCTTTCCTATGTTAGTTTTTATTAGATGAACAAATCTTTCTCTATTTAAAATTTTTAAAAATTAAAATGTTTGATAATTTTAACAATGTAACCCCTTATAAAATTTTGAAATTTTGAAAAAATGTTTAAAATTTATATTTCGAGCAAACATGGCTAGATCGAATCGGCTTTTGATGCTGATCAAGAATATATATGGTTTATAGGGTTGGAAATGATTCCTTCACAACGCTTTAAGCTTCTGCTTTAATTTCAATAAGAAAACTATCATTAAACATGACATTACTTATGTTTGCATTATAGTCAAGGGCCTGGATCACATTGCCGAGAACATTTTGTCCTACTTGGATGCCGAATCGCTCAAATCCGCGGAGCTGGTCTGCAAGGAATGGCTGCGGGTAATATCCGAGGGAATGTTGTGGAAGAAGCTCATCGAGCGCAAGGTGCGCACAGATTCATTGTGGCGTGGACTTGCCGAGCGGCGCAACTGGATGCAGTATCTATTTAAACCAAGACCGGGCCAGACCCAGCGGCCACACTCATTCCATCGCGAGCTGTTTCCCAAGATAATGAATGTGAGTGGTGTCTAGCAAAGTTTTCAGTACACCGAGAAATGACTGAAACATTTTCGTTTTCGTTTTTTCAACCTTTCAGGACATTGACAGCATAGAGAATAACTGGAGGATTGGTGGCCATATGCTGCACCGAATCAATTGCCGATCCGAAAATTCGAAGGGTGTCTATTGCCTGCAGTACGACGATGGCAAGATTGTATCCGGTCTGCGGGACAACACCATCAAAATCTGGGATCGCACGGATCTGCAGTGTGTTAAGGTAAGATGCCATAGATATACTTCAGCAAGAATGACAACCTTACCACGTCTCTTCCACTGCTACAGACCCTCATTGGCCACACTGGTTCAGTGCTGTGCCTGCAATACGACGACAAGGTAATCATCAGTGGATCCAGCGACTCCACAGTTCGGGTGTGGGACGTCAATACCGGCGAGATGGTCAATACCCTCATCCATCACTGCGAGGCGGTGCTGCATTTGCGCTTCAACAACGGCATGATGGTGACCTGCTCCAAAGACCGCTCCATCGCCGTGTGGGACATGACCTCGCCCAGCGAGATAACGCTACGCCGCGTCCTCGTCGGCCATCGGGCTGCAGTCAATGTGGTTGACTTTGATGAGAAGTATATTGTGTCCGCCAGCGGCGACCGCACCATTAAGGTCTGGTCCACCTCGAGCTGTGAATTTGTACGCACCTTGAATGGCCACAAGCGTGGCATCGCCTGCCTTCAGTACAGAGATCGGCTGGTAGTCAGCGGCAGTTCGGACAATTCCATTAGGTAAGAAGATGCGTGTCTTGCATATATTTTTATATATATACTTATACATTTTCCATTCCCATTGCAGACTTTGGGATATTGAGTGTGGTGCTTGTTTACGTGTCCTAGAGGGCCACGAGGAGCTGGTTCGCTGCATCCGTTTCGATACGAAGCGCATCGTTAGCGGCGCTTACGATGGCAAGATCAAGGTGTGGGATTTGGTGGCCGCCCTGGATCCTAGAGCAGCCTCTAATACCCTTTGTCTGAATACGCTTGTGGTAAGTGTCCACCTAGTAGTAGCCTCCATAACCTTTTGATTAACCTCTTACTCCTTGAACCCTCTCCTTTAATAGGAGCATACTGGCCGCGTCTTTCGTTTGCAATTCGATGAGTTCCAAATTGTAAGCAGCTCGCACGATGATACAATTGTGATTTGGGACTTTCTAAATTTCACACCCAATGAGAACAAGGCCGGACGCACGCCGTCACGTAAGAGATGCCCAACTTTCACTCCATTCATTGATCTCTTGAATTATGCATGCATAATAACGTCTTATTTTCTCTATTTCTGTTCCTGCTTCTACAGCGGCTTTGATGGAACATTAACATTTTGTGCAACGGCAGCTGCGCGAATTACACCTAATACCCTCGAGCGACGATGACGACGACGAGGACGAGGACGATGGAGATGGAGATAGAGATAGAGATGGTGATTTTGAGGACGAGATTTCGCGAGATGATGCTGGGGCTGTTATGGGGGGATATGTTAGGCATCAAAATGCTGCCGATGGTTCGGGCTCTATCACGGGTTCAGGTTCAGGTTCCTCAGACCCAGAGCTGGAGGAGGACCTGGACTATGATATAGATGATGTTGAGAATATTGATGATTATGATGAATGAAGGTAGCCAGCGTTAAAACATACAACAATTTCGGAATCCAAGTAACAGCGATCTCTGAGCGTCTATTTTACAATCACACACAACATAAACACTCAACACCCACACACACACACACACAACACACCCACACAAACACACACGGAACCCAAGCATAATAAGATTAAAATGAAGTTATAAAGCAAGCAACAATAAAAAGCAAAAGGCGTATATATAGAAAACATGAAAATATTTTTGCAAAACTGGCTGTTAGGTTGTTTGTCATGTACGAATATGAGAATTTGAAGAGACAAAACTTTTGTATTAGTTACTTAGGCGCTGTAATACTAATCAAAGGGTCAGTAGTCCTCGAATCGATCGGGCGTTACTTTAAGTGTTTCTTTAGCTCAAATACACAAGCCAGCATCGCGCGAACTGGCAGCTGCGAGGCAACTGGAATCTGCAGGACGGCCAGCGAAGAGAGTTCAGTCTTTAGCATAAATGTTAGTTAGAGTTGCTTCATTGAAATTGGCAAGCAAAAGCATCAGTTTGCACATTTGTAACCTATTTTAGCAAGCCTATTGCCTAATGTTTGTGTTAATTGTAAAGTTTAAACTTAAGCCTAGTATTTTATTGGCAATTGTAAGCTAAGTTACCCCAAATGCAAAATACAAAATACAAATAATTTAATTGAAAGAGAGACTTGTGTGTGACCCGTGTCTGCGTCTGCAATTGGCAATTGAAATTATTTGGGGAGAAAATTGAACAAAATTAATCAATATGTAACCGATTCTTTGATTGAACCGTAATGATACCTATAGACTCTAGTAATACACAGATGTATGTAGTAAATAGCAAAATTTCCAGGACGTTTCATCATAATATATATATATATATATTTAATGTATGCAACAGATACTTTTACTATATATGTATTGATTGCTATGTGTAAGTTAAGTTACAATGCTATACGTGATCTGGATGACGATCACCGCCGCTTCCGCGTTAACTAATGAATGTAAATAACGTTTTACTTTAAAAACAGCAAATTGATTGAAATATGAACCCACATACTCTCCGAAATACTATGCAAAACTGTTGGTGGAAGGAGTGCAGCTTGTTAAACGATGGCTGAGCAACTGCGAATTGCTGTGCGTATGGGCTTAGTATAGGTAACAGATAACTAGAAATAATAATAAATTGTGTATAAATTCTAAAGAAGCTGCTGTTTTATAATCCTTTAGCATATTGGGCTACTTATCTCCTTTCGTTCATTATTTGTGCAGTTGGGCAGAGAGGCTGTTGTATGTAATCCTTTAAATCCTATTTGAGTTGACCCGCCAACTGCCATAGAAGTTCTACAACATTTTTCAAAAAAATATTTATAGCCTTGTTGTTTTTAAAAATATTTTCATTTACTTAGATATATAATCCTTTTTATTTTTATTTCTGACTTACTGAATATTTTAAAAGGTCCTTGAAAATGACTACAAAAATGTTTATGAAAATGTAAGTCAACATTTATCCCATTAATGTTTAGCAGCTTTTTGTTAGAACTCTAATAACAGTAGTCATGAGTACTCCTAGGATATATAAATTAGACTACTTTTCTATTGTAATATGTGTGAGAGGGAGTTCCAACATTTATATTGGGCTTATATTCTTTAATTATTTAAGTTTGCGCCTTTTTATTTGAACTAGTGGAAATGGTGTGTTTTTAAATTTCAAGTTGGTTCGTGATAGTTTAGTATGAATTATTTTGCGCAACCTGGTCACTCTGAAGAACCTAAGACGAAATGAGTAGCTTATAACTATTTTCTTCATTCTTATTCGTTATAAAATTCCAAGATGGACTGGTATGTGGGCACGGAATGGGAAGATAAGGGTCGAGGCCTTACCAAGAAGGTGCTCGCCTTTCAGTTCGCCGACATGGAGAAGCCAACGGCGTGCAGCACCGTGCAGTTCAGTGTCAACAAGAAATGCGCCAATTTGGGTGAGCGGCCCAGCAAGTACTTGGCGAGCGATGAATCCTCGGTGTATCCTCAACAGCACTCCCTGGAAATGGGAACTGCCGTCTACCCAGTGGACTGTTATGTGGAGATACTGCTGCAGCAGTTCCTTCCCGGAGAAACCGCCGCCTGTAGCATCCTGACCAAAAACGGCGTTCGGATCGAGTTTGAGCTGAGGCTGGAAAAGATTGTGAAGAACACACAGGTGGAAAAGCTGGACGCAGCAGGAATCTACGACTTGGCGCTGCGTCTCAAAGAGAGTGGAGTGGCCACATTTAAATCCTATCCGAAATTCGCATTCGATTACTTCGTGCGCGCTGCAAAGTTGCTCATCACATACAAACCTTTCGACAAGCTGACCAAGAAAGAGAACGGGATAAACGGAAGCACAGTTGAGGAGCTTTTCATCCAGATTCAGACCAACCTGGCTGCCTGCCTCCTGTTGGAGAAGCGCTACGAGCACGTCATTTATCACACACAATTTGTAGAGACTGCGGAAAGTCCCAGCGAGAAAAGCATTTACCGGCGTGCTGTGGCCTACTTCCACCTAAAGGAGTTTGCCAAGGCACAGGCCACCATCGAGCGGGTGCCTAACTACGAGGAAAAGCGCGAGTTTAGCAAGCTGCGGGACAACATTGCGGTCAGCTGGAAGGATAGCAACACCCACTACAAGGAGGTGGTGCAGCGTATGTTCAGCTAGTTCTCATTGTTACCATTATCTCAGCCAACCAACAACTGGTCTGTTTATAAAATAGCTTATATTTAACATATTACTTTGACTTCCTACTCTTTTTGGGATCGAACTTGGGCTTCCTGTCCTTGTAGTCGTTTGACTTGCCATTGGCTTTCTTGTTTTTGGGATCCAGCTTGGCCCGTTTGTTCTTGAACTTCATGCCGCCGGACAGCTTGGGTCGCTTGCGTGAAGATTTGGATTCCATTTTAAAGAGTTCTGCAAATGTAAATACGAATTATTATTCACCATTCAAGTGTTTCGAGGAAGTGAAGAACCCACCTTCATCCGGCTCCTCGCCCACTTCCTCTTTGTAGTACTCGGCGTCATCTTCGGGATCGCTGTCATTGTGTCCTTCCTCCGCCCGTTTCGCCGCCCGCTGTTCGTCCTTCTTAAGTTTTAAGTTGCGAGCCCGGTTTTCTGCTTGCTCCTTCTTGCGCTGCTCCTTTTGCTTAGCTTTCTTTTCGACCAGTTTGCGCATAGTTTCCTTTTCTTCCTCCGTCTTTACCACATGATCGTGGTATAGAACCTCGCCGGTGAGGAGTCCGTCCTCTATTTTGATTAGCTGCATGGTTAGACGCGGCCCGATTTCATGCAGCTTAATGGAGCTCTTGTTGTCCTCTAGGTTGCCCTTGCTTTTGAGCGTTTGTGCAAGCACCACATGCGACTGCTCGTCATCCTCGGCCTCAGATTCGGAGGCGTATCCATCTCTGGAAAATATGAACATGGGATTAGTTTGAATCACATGCGATATCACGAGGACTTTCTTACTTCGTCACGAAATCCACCACTTCGTTGCACTTGCCCAGATTGGGAACATTGCCCTTTACGATCTTTTGCACAGCTCGCTTGAGGCCCACTGGCACTACCTGCACCGAGTAATGACGCATCTCCACCAGCTTCGTTTCCGGATTGTAGGAGAACAGGACACAGCGACGGATCGTTCCTATGTTCACCTGAGCTAGGTTGATCGATGGGAACATGTTCTGGAACGTGGTGGCCATCAGCTTCAGATGTTTGCCATCGCCACTAAAGTTGTTCATGATGACCAGCGGAGCATGCTTGAAGTGGTCGTTGTCGGTCATCTGCTGCCTGCTGGACGAAATCACGTCGCGGGCCAGTGTGAACTGGTGAACCTGTGAGGGGAAGTTATTTGGAGTGAATCAGTCGGAACATTCCCATTATTTAAGCTGTCGGCAAACCTTAAATGTCAGAGAGGGACCGCGCGGCAAACGGACAACTTTGAAGGACAACTGCGTCGAGGCCTTGTTGAAAATGCCCATGTGCGAGACGTGAAAGAAGCTACTTAAGCTTACAAAGTCCTTGATGCGGTTCATCCGTTTCTCTCGCAGATTAGTAGCCGTATACGGCTCCATGATGCGCCGGAAATCCAGCGTGAGGTCTGTGATGTACGGACAGGTGAGGCCACGATGGATGACGAACGAGTGAGGCGCCTCGACAATCTCGCTCGGCTCGCTGGCCTTAAAGGCTGCCGTACGGGTCTTGGGATGTACTTTCTTCTTGCCGCGTCCCATGTTTTGTCCAAGTTGTTTCTTTCCTTCCGCACGTGCTAAGATCAGTGTGACTGTAGCAGCAGAGAATACCAAACAGGTGCTCAAACGGTCTCTCGCTTGCCACGATAGTTTGGCCACTCTAATTTAACGTTAATTCAATTTCAAACGAACTATAAAACCAAGTTTATTCCTTTTATTTAAATTATATTTATTTAATCACACTTAACATAGCAAACACAAATGATGTGATTTTCGTTTCATGTATGCATTTAAAGTTTTAAAACTGTTGCTGTTTGTTTGATTTGTTGACCAATTCTTGAAAATGAAAAAGTGAAAACTAAAAAAAGTTCGCAAAAATTGCTTGCCGCGAGCTGCGCAGTGTTGTTTTTGTTTGAAAGTATGTTTGCATCATTATCGAAGATTTCCTTCCGGTTGTTTACAACTATATATTTATGTTGCGAAAAATTAATAATATTAATATTTTTAATATTAGCATATATTTATATTTATATAAATTATAGTTCTACAGCTTAAACTGAATTTGGAGTGTTTAGTTTTTTGCTTATATTCTTTCCAGTTTTTGTTTTTTTTCTTATTTTTGCAGGCATCGACGATCGCGGCGATCGATTTATGCGATATTTCTTTAAATCTTTATATATATATAAAACTTCAGTTTAAACCGCAGTTAACTACAGCCGGATGTTGTTTTCGATTCTGTTGCTGCTGTTGGTGTTGTTTTGGTGATGGTGGTGTTTTTGTTGATTTGATTTATCAATTTATATGCAAATATTATGACAAACTGCAAGTGGCTGTTGTTGTAATTGAAAAACAAAAAAACTCCTCCCAATGCCTTTCTTCACCAGATCTTCGCTGCTGCTGCTGCTGCTGATCTTGCTATTGTTCTGGTTTTTATTGCTGCTTATGTTGTTGTTGTAGTTGTAATTGTTGTTGCTTTTGTTTATGTTGCTGTTCTGGCGGTTGCGGGGAATAGCTAATGTTGCTTGGGGCGGTCACTGACAGCACTGCTTGCGCACATCGGCGGTGACAGTCGGCTTGACGTCGATGGGTTCCACGTTCGACGGACGAATAACATCGCCTTCCGGCGGATCCCTGATCTGTTTCTGCGACACAATGCGATAGATTTCTGAAAGATACAGAAGGAAATCCATTAATAAGATGGTCTTGATAAACTTAGGCATAAACATTTGCAGTTAGTGTGTATATATAGAAGAAATGGATAATATACAAAGTTAAGGACAACTCACCTGTGAGTATGTTCTGGAATGCCGTTTCTACGTTCGTCGAGTCGAGGGCCGAGGTTTCTATGAAACTCAAGCCGTTGCGCTCGGCAAACAGTTTCGCCTCGTCTGTGGGAACGGAGCGCAAATGGCGCAAGTCGGACTTGTTGCCCACCAGCATGATGACGATGTTCTGGTCGGCATGGTCGCGCAACTCCCGCAGCCACCGCTCCACATTCTCGTACGTCAGATGCTTGGCGATGTCGTAGACGAGCAGAGCTCCCACAGCACCGCGGTAGTAGGCAGAGGTGATGGCGCGATAACGCTCTTGGCCGGCCGTATCCCATATTTGCGCTTTAATTGTTTTTCCATCGACCTGCATAGAGTGGAGAGGGTGGGGTTAGAAGAAGACACAGAAGAAGCATTAGTTGTATGGTGACAGTAATTGGCAATCTCGCCAAGTTATCCTTTTCCCCCTGCGGCAGTTTCGCTTTGAAAATCAATAAACAAATTCGACCCACACAGAGTTGTCAACCCATAGGAACAAATAAGCCTCAGTTCGTTCTGAATTATGTGTGGACTTCAATAGAAACATACCCCTATAACTATGTATATTAGATATAAAAAATGAAAGCACTTAAAATTTAAATTAAAGGTGAGCCCTTAAATCCAATTTTACAGTTTTTTTTCTACAACAGCCAAATGGTGACGATGATGTCAACATTTAGGTTGCCCCCCCCCAACTCGATGGCTTCATAAATTATGAAAGAAAACCAATTGGCAATCCTTTATTTAGTAAAATTCCCAGACACTTACTGAAATTGACTGCTAACCCCCTAGGTTGTTCCTCGATTTTGCCATCACTATGTTTACTACCACCCGGCAAAACGCACACGCAAGCTCACCCGTGAAGCACACAGGCATCCGTTCTTCCTGACCCCAATCCCCTGCTGTACTCACCTCTATGCTGCGCGTTGCAAACTCCACGCCAATCGTTGACTTGGACTCCAAATTGAATTCATTGCGCGTGAAACGGGACAGCAAATTACTTTTGCCAACGCCAGAGTCACCGATAAGGACAACTGCAAAGGAATACAAAGCATTAGTGGTATTCGAAGCATTGGCATTGGCATTGGACAATCTAAGTGCCCCAGTTGCATAATATGTGGGTGGGCGCGGTGTGTTTGGTTTGGCATGGTTTGGGGGCAACTCCACCCCGTGTCCTGTGTTTTTACGGCCGGACAGGCTGTTAGCTGGTGGCTCGAATAGGTCATGTCCTCCTTCGTTGACTTCGCTGCTGGAGTGGCGCCCCAAGGTCAGCTTGTACATAAAGCTGCTATACTCTGGAGACTTTAGGCCATGGAAACAAATATCTTAAGTTTGTGGAAGGAGTGGACGTTCGGGAGCTTTGTGCTTGGAGGAATGTTTATTGTGCTCTATGTCGATAGAGCAAATATTTATAGTTTATCTGAGTGACAGTACTTGGCCAAGGCAAATACACTCTATAAGCTATTGCAATTTTAATAAAATAGCGGCTGTTATTACTGTTTAAGAATATATAGAATAAATGTTTATAAGGTCAAAATTGACATATTCTGTTGATTTTTTTTAAATAAAAAGGTATATATTTTTATAAATAAGGTAAAACCCAGAAACACTTGTTAAAGCAAATTAATTTTCTCGTCTATATTTATGCTTTTAGGAATCAAATAAAGCCGGACGCCGCTCAAAACAGATGTGCATTTTCAATTTCTTTAATAGGCTTTTAAAATCAGCTGTCATTTGATTAAGACAAAACAAAATAAAATTGTATTTGCTTAGTTTAAATCGTTAATGCACTTGTCTGTTAGCTTTAATATCATCCTGTTTGCCAGTTAGAGAAAACAATAACAAAAAGGCTTCAAACACTTTCGCTCTTTGCAATTCTGGGCAGCTGAGAGCGACCTGGTTACAGTTATCGGCGAGAGAGGGGAACTGGCCATGAGTCACTACTCTCTTTAACTCCGTTTCTGACCTGATCCTCAAAGAGAGTTAAACGGATGTGCCGGCTAACTAAAGGGGAGCAGTCAATGGGAAGGCCGTCTTCATTGCTTGCTAGTTTCAATGGATCGAATCGGTCGAATAGAGCCTCACATTGGTTATGATGTGATTATGGGCTTATCGCCGCGAGCGGAATTCTTCGACTGTTGGTTTCCGTGCATGAGTCATTGCCAGGCCAATAATATCGTTATGTGTGAAATTCGAGGCCTCATCATGCATGTCATACTCACTCACACTTTTGACATATTCACATGGTGTGCTTCTGTTTCTTACATTTTGGATACTTGACCCAAAAGAAGCTCTTGGCAAGATAAGGGCTTAAGAATTTGAAAAAGATATTACCTCCATTGGATGGATTTATAAAATTATTGTGAAAGTAATGAATTGTTTGTAAAATTAACGAACATTTTATTTCTTTCAAATGAATAATTGAGATAACCCGTTAATGACATTCAACAGTTGCTCAGACTAAAGCTCAGCTGTGATAGTCTTTTTTTAAGCGTAATTGGAATTTGCGGCGTAGTAGCAAACGAAGAGAACAAAGAAGAACTGAGAATTGACGACCCCGAACATAAACAGAAATGATACAAAGAACGCAAAAGATGTGGGAAGGGAGCTGAAGCTTTGGGGCAAATGGATCGGATGCGGCCCACTGTGCAAACTTCAAACTGAGGTTTCAATACCACGATAGAGGGAGTGTTGGAGAGCGAGAGAGCCGTAAACAGATGCAAAAGAAATTACAAAAAAGCCAATGCAAGAGCCAGCTGTACAGAAGTAACAATTTTACTACACACTCACTCGTGGTACTAATTCGAAATCTAATCAATTCAAGAATGTGAGTGGGAGGCTAAGTTCAAAACTACTCCCCGCTGAAGGAGGGAACTTTTATCGCGATTATAAATACGATTTGCGTTGGCTTTTGCATGCAACGTGGCGAGAGCAACGGGAACGTAATGACAAAACAGACAGTTAACGGCAATGTACTTGATTCCGGAAGAGGCCCCAAAGAGAGAGCGGGAGCGTGAGAGAGCCGTCAAAGGGCATCCAACTGCACGGGAAACAGCAACACCAACAAACTCAGGGGGCGTACTTCTTGGACTTATTTTGGGAATTAATCACACACTAGCACTCACACACATACCAGCACATGAACTCTGGGCTTTCGACTGCACTTTCTGTTATTCTCCAATTAGTTTCAATTAGTGCCATTGAACCACTGCGTCATTGTGTCCAGGCAACGTAGAGGTGGAGAGGGCCGCCGCTACTCCACCTTCCCCTCTACTTCCTTAGATCTTCGGCCACCGGCAGTGTCATGTTTATAATTACCTTTGAACAGATAATCGTACTCGTCTTCTCTTGCTCCCATTTTCTTCGGATTTGTTTTGCTGTATTTGCTGGCTCAATTCAATTCGATCTGTATCCTTACTCCGTCCGATTTATGAACGAAATCCAATAACCTGCGCGCCGCCGATTTCTTTATGCGTTTGTCGTAGCTCACACACTTTTTACACTTTTTTTTTGCAGTTGTAGTTGTGTTGTAAAGAAAGAGAAAAATGTATATCAGTATACGGTGGAAAGTCGGTGTGTTTCCAGCTCCAAAGCGGTCGCGCCGTCTGGTAGAATGTCGCTGACAACTAGTGCAGCAGCAACTTGATAAATGCAGCTGTTTTTAACGCATTTATTTATAATTTTCTCTTACACGAAACTTAGTCACTCCCCAAATATACGGCGTGAAGTTGGCAGCAGTATGGCGCCGATAACGATAGAAAATACCACTTATTCCAGCAATAAATACCATAAAATACCATTTTAGTATTAAGAATTGTCATTTGTATATGAAAGTGTCGTAACGTTTTTTTATAGTTTCATTTTTTAAATAGTTTATTACTTTTATCAAAATAGTCTTTCTTGCTATTCTATTTGCAATGAACTAAATAATTTAAGAATACTAAAAGTACGACCTATGTACATGTACATCACTTGGGCGGCAAAGCTGGCGGGAAAATTCAAAATTAAAATATCACCAAAAAACCTTTGGAAGTTAATTTTTAAGTTCTTCCAATTGCTAATTTTGTGTATTATTGAGAAAAGTGGTAGTATTCCTAATTGTTCGCCCCAGAAAACCTCTCGTTTTGTATAAAACTGAGTATAAAAATGTGATCATTTTAATATAAAATACTTGTATATAAAAGCAATAAATTAAGTATAATGTGCAGTTAATACTTGCGTTGATCTCTAATATAATTCACTTTGTTCTTATTGCATTTAAATGCGAGCACGCTGCAAGGCCAAGGCTGGATATATGAGCAGGAGTCCACCGGCTATGTAGGTGATCTTTGAGCCTACGCACCAGAAAGCTGTAGAGAGTCTGGTTGTTAGAAGGAGTACTTCGGCGTATTAAATCCAACTCACCAATACTGCCCACCACGGGACCCAATGCCCGAGCCAGAGCTCCCAAGGAGCGAAAAATTCCTAAAACTGAACCCTTCTGGTCATCGTTGCCGTACTTGGACACCAGAGTGGTGAGGCAGGTGACAGCAAAGGCCGTTGAGATGGCGAAGAGGATCATGCCGGCGTAGAGCACTCGACTGCTTTCGGCCAGGCCAACTAATACGAAGGCGGGGACAATCAGGTACAGACTGAAAATGGCGTAGCCCTTAATCTTTGCCTCGGGCAGGCGACGAACCACCGATCCCTGTAGTAATGTCATAATAACACCTGCAATAAGTAAAACAGGATCAATTAAAACATTATTAAAGGAGAATGAGTTACACCCTCTCATACCTGTAGTCAAAAACATCTTGGCCTGGTCCATGGAGGTGTAGCCAAATTTGTGGTACATCAGGAAGGTGACGGTAAACTCCAATCCAGAGTACAGAAACAGATATAGGAAGTATATCAGTCCTATTGATCGTAAGGCCTCAATGTCTTTTTTGGGAACATTTTTGATAGCAGCAAATCTGTCAATATAATAAGTACCATGAAATACGATTGGTCAACCCAAATCCAAGCACTAACCACTAGATTGTATTCATGGGAAGGGGACACATTCCCTCCCTTCTAACCGACTTTAATCAAATGTGTTAGCTACACTTTCCCACTGATAAGACAATCATATAAACGTGCCGGCGTACCCGGCACCTGGCACAGTAATGATAATGTTCCTCAAACCAGTCAGGCAAGTCGACTTGATCACACGACAGGTTTACGTACCCACCACTTGCTAATTAATTCCATGACTTACCTAAATATGGCCGAGAAGTTGAGCAATTGCAGGCCGTATGACAAGGCAGATGAGATCTCCTTAACTCGTTTCTCCTGGGATATAAACCCTACGATTAGCTTAAATTTCTATATTTACATTCAGCCAATTCATACCTTTGGCAAAGTCTCGCGGAGACAACAAGCCAGAACCAGGAGATCGCCTGCAGCCAAACCAAAGGCCAGGAGCGAGGGGAGCACAAACCAAGCTCCTCCACTCTTATCCGAAAATATGGCGAATAGAGCTCCAATCATAGGTCCCACAATGAATCCAAGCGAGAAGGCCACGCCTACTAGGGCCATGCCCCGACCTCGGCTTTTTACGCTGGACACATCCGTGATGACGGACATGCAAAGAGAGATATTACCCTTGCTGATGCCGCCCACAAAGCGGGCCAGAACGAACAGGGCGAAGTTACTGGAGCAGGCCCAGATCAGATAGGACAAGGCGATGCCAGACTGCGGAGACGGAAGTACAATAAGATTAACAAGTTTGGACTGTGTTGTTTAGATTACCCACCGCACAAACCAACAGCACCGGCTTCCTGCCGTAGTAATCTGAGAGCCCTCCCACTATCGGGCTCGCAACAAATTGTAGAAAACTGAACATGGAACCGAGGAAGCCACCAAATAGCACCGATATATACCGCTCAGGGGCTCCGAGGAGCTGCTGAAACCAGCGAACACTCTCCGTGAGCACAGCGTACAACCCGGATGTATCATTCTGACGATAGTACTCCAAAAGAGACGGCAGCAGTGGCAGAATGATGGTGAATGCCAACAGATCAAAAAGCAAAGATACAAAGATGATGTATATCATGGGATCGCTCTTCTCCGGGTTTCCCTTTCCCTTTTCCAGCTTGCTGTTGTTGTTGTTGCTGCTGGACTTCACTTCCTCCGCTGCCGTGGTTGTTGTAATTCCATTATGGCGACTCCGTATGGTAGCCATAGTTATATGTCGATTTTCTTCCGGCCGTGATTGCGTGCGTGTACTAGTATTACTGCAACATAACTGTTTCTGCGGACCCGTAACTCCCCCGACAAGTTTTTGGTCCCAACCAGAAGCGGAATGCTCAAAAACCGCCACCCGAAGTGAAAGTTTGAACGAGAATGGTAGATATGTACATAGCCTTGTCAAGTCGAAAGTTGTATACCCTTGCTGGCAGTTTTATTTACATTGAGTTGCGCGAGGCTAGAGAAATTAGTCACCACAATAAACAAGAACGATATTTTCTAATAGATATTAAACCTATTAGCTTTAAGAGCAGCAATAGGAATATATTTCTTATTAAATATATTTTCCACAGTTGAAAATGTGTTAGAAGCTTATGGGAACTTAATAGTACTGTCTAAAAGAGTATAATAAGATGCAACAGCTGATTGGAGGCGGTTCAAGACGATCAGACGTGGTGTAAATTTTAAAGCCTCGTTTTCAACAGCACATAACTTCTGATAGGTTATAAATTATTTAAAAGGCAACAGCCTTTTGTTCCCTATACGTATTTTAAGTTCACGATTTTTAAAATAGCTTATGTTGCAGTTACAGTTTTAATTTAAAACAGATGTTTTGATACGGTCAAACTTGTTGCTTAAAAGGGCTTTAGGGGTTATTTAACACTGGGCGAACTGATCTGTTAACCAACACTGTACAGTCGGCTGATTAATAACTTTTTGATTACTTCTTTGAGAATTGCACTAAGAATTAGTAAAAGAGCGACTTAACATGTCCAAGGTGACCGTGCAAGACATAGAGGCGGTGGATGACTACTGGGGCCCCACATTTCGATCAATATTAGAAGGTAACCATCGTTTTCAGACCCCGTCTCGCCATTTGTTTACGCCCCATGAATTTTCAATATAAGTTTGTATTTATTGGCAGGAAACAACACCAAGCAGATTGGCGAGCAGTTGGACCAGCGGATTCGCAGTCATGATAAGGAGATCGAGCGTATCTGCAACCTGTACTATCAAGGCTTCATTGATTCCATCCAGGAGCTGCTGCAGGTGCGCACCCAGGCAAAGCAGCTGCATGACGAGGTGCACTCACTAGACACTTCGCTGCGCCAAATCAGTGCGTCGCTAATCCAGCAGGGCAACGATCTGGTGCGAGCACGCCAGATTGAGTCCAATCTGGCCAGTGCCATTGAGGCACTAAAGTCCTGCCTGCCGGCTCTCGAGTGCTACATGAAGTTCACGCAGCAGGCCAAGAATAAGCAGTACTACCAGGCGTTGCGAACCCTCGAAACGCTTGAGACGGAGCACCTTTCCAGTCTGAAGACCCACAACTATCGCTTCGCCACCCAGATGCAGATCCAGATACCTATTATCAAGGAGAACATACGGCGCTCGTCCGCATCTGACTTTCGTGAGTTTCTCGAGAACATCCGCAAGTTCTCGCCAAGGATCGGTGAGCTGGCCATCACGCACACCAAGGAGCTGCAGAAGCGCGACATCAACGCTATAATTGCGGAGCATATGAAAACACACGCAAATGGAGGAACGGGCGGAGGTGGGACTGGTGCTGGCGATGGGGGTGACGATGACGGCGCAAATGTAAGTGCCCAGGACCTAATCGACTTCTCGCCCATCTACCGCTGTCTGCACATCTACATGGTGCTGGGACAGCGGGAATATTTCGAGAAGGACTACCGGCAGCAGCGTCGAGACCAGGCCAAGTTGGTGCTTCAGCCACCGCCGAACATGCACGACAACCTAGAGGCCTACAAGACCTATATCTGCGCCATCGTTGGGTTCTTCGTGGTTGAAGATCACGTTAAGAACACTGCCGGCGATGTCGTCACCAGCAGTTATCTGGAGGATCTCTGGTCCAACTCATTGACCAAGTTCGTCAACGAGATCAGCATGAGCTCGTCGTCCTGTACCGATCCCAATATTTTGCTGCGCATCAAGAATCTAATCATGCTGTCCATAAACACATTTAAGTGTTATGGTTACACAGTGAATATCCTCTGGGAGCTCCTACACAACATGAGGGATCACTACAATGAGGTAAGCTCTTTCCTTTTGAAGGTAAGGACGAGTCCCTAATATAGATTAAATTTCCTCTGTACAGGTATTGCTACAACGATGGGTGCATGTCTTTCGCGATATCCTCGACAAGGAGCAGTTCCTGCCCATGGTTGTGCAGAATGTAGAGGAGTATGAGGGTATCATTGAGCGGTTTCCCTTTCACTCGGAGCAGCTGGAAAATGCACCGTTTCCCAAGAAGTTCCCCTTTTCGCGCATGGTTCCCGAGGTATATCACCAAGCCAAAGAGTTCATGTACGCCTGCATGAAGTTTGCTGAGGAGCTTACATTGTCGCCTAACGAGGTGGCCGCCATGGTACGCAAAGCGGCCAATCTGCTCCTCACTCGCAGCTTCAGCGGCTGCCTTTCGGTGGTTTTTCGCCAGCCGAGCATCACTTTAACGCAGCTTATCCAGATCATTATTGACACGCAGTATTTGGAGAAGGCCGGACCCTTTCTAGACGAGTTTGTCTGTCATATGACCAACACGGAGCGGAGTGTATCACAGACTCCATCGGCCATGTTCCATGTGGCGAGGCAGGATGCCGAGAAGCAGGTTGGTCTGCGGATCTGCTCCAAAATCGACGAGTTCTTTGAGCTAAGCGCCTACGATTGGCTGCTGGTTGAGCCGCCGGGCATAGCTTCCGCCTACATTACGGACATGATCTCCTATCTGAAGAGCACCTTCGATAACTTCGCCTTTAAGCTGCCCCATATCGCCCAGGCAGCCTGTCGACGCACCTGCGAACACATTGCGGAAAAAATCTACTCGATCATGTACGACGAGGATGTTAAGCAGATTTCGACGGGGGCTTTGACACAGATAAACCTCGATCTAATGCAGTGCGAATTCTTTGCGGCTTCCGAACCAGTGCCTGGATTGAAGGAGGGCGAGCTCAGCAAGTACTTCCTGCGCAACCGACAGCTACTGGATCTGCTCATCCTGGAGGAGTGGAGCACGTACTTCCACGATTATGGCAAGCAGGAGAACCGATATCATCTCGTGCAGCCGCAGTCCATTATTGTGATACTTGAAAAGATCCGCGAGGCGGACAAGAAGCCCATTTTCTCGTTGGTGCGTAAGAATGATAAGAAGAAGCTGCTGGAGACAGTTCTCAAGCAGCTAAAGCATATTGCCGAAAGGCAAAATTAGGATACAAAATAATCGATCGATCGCTCAGATTCCCCACAATTGTAATTTTAAAATTAACTCAACCTTTTAGCTATACATCTTTATTATTTTTAAGCTAATTTGAGTTTTCTTATGGAAAAAGTATGGAGCTGTTCTCCTTGACTTTTGATTCGATTTGTTTTTATAAAAGACAAATATTTCAATTGAAACTGCTGCCGTTGAACGTGTTAAATTGTATTTTGAATTCGTTTGATTCGTATGTACAAAAAGCGGAGTGTTTAATTAGAATATGGTTTGATTTCTGTTTAAATTCAAACGAAACGACAAAAAGAGAAAAACAAACAGATGAACGGCTAAATAACAAATTGTATATAATTATTAGATGTATGTAGCGTACGTTGTATGTATATAGGTATATTCCGCAGATCGTAGTAAACTATGTAAACCTCTATGTTACGTATAATATGCATTGTTTGTGTTGCTTTTGTCAACTCTTCGTCTCTAAGTGCTTGGGCGCGTCCGCATAGGTGAACTTCAAGCGGAATGCCTCGGCGAGCAGAACGTTGATTTGGCGATCGGACCAGTTGTGTGTCGGCAGATTTTGTAGCAGCAGCATCAGACCCTGTTGGCAGTGAGAATTATAATTGATTAGTGTTTGTGATTGGAGGAACTAATGCTAGCGCACCTGGAAATCGTTCTGTTGCATCAGCTGTTCCTTCCAGTGTAGCAGGAATGCCGCGCACACGTATAAATGGAACAACGCGAAGCCGTCGGACTCGGCCAGATATGTGTCCCACAGCCGGATGGTGCAGTGCAGCGGCAGTTCGCGTGTCAGCAGATTGTTCATCCAGCGAAATGAGAATTGCAAATAGTCGACGCCATGCGTCTGTAGATGACGGTGTAAATTAACTGAAATTGAATGAGAATTAAATGTTATTTGCTTGTATATACATATATTTGGCAATTATAAGTTGGAAGGGCAATTAATGATGTGTCGGCAATTACCTCTCCCCCATCTGGGACCAAAACTTGAGGGTATTAACAATAAATACTCAAGTCGAAATATAATGAAAAAAGCCAGATGTTAATAATGTAAATGTTCTCAGCTTAACTTCTCTTATTACGCTCTTTAAAAACCACTTAGAGCGATTCGGTTGAGCGGTCACAAATTGAAAGTCAGCAGAGGAGCAAAAAATGAAAGACTTAGGGTAAAGGCTCTTAAATAATAAATTCTCAATATTATAATTGACTTAATTAAGAATGAACATATATAGCAAGGAAATGTTACGCTGAATATCGTATTCAAAATTTCGTAAAATGGTATACATATTTCGAAAGTTGTAGTATTGAAATTTAACGTTAACAAAACACGATATAAAGACAATGTTCTGCTTGAGATGGTAGAATGATGGTGGTTGAATTTAAAATCCCTTAAATAATGCGCTATTATCTTGATCGTATCTGTAACCTCACGTTTGACAAAAGCTCGTCAGAGACAATTCTGACAACAATAATCTGTAGCTTTAATATCGCCTTCAGTTGCTCACATTCTGGCAAGACGTTACCATTTATCTTATCAGACAGCCAACATAATACCTATATCTATATTGAATCAGCTCTGATTGAAGATAATCTAGACAAGCAGTCGTCTTACCGTCAATGCGTTGTATCAGATCCTTGAGTTGATTAACCTTCTCTTGTATGCCCAGCTGGGCAAAGATGTAGTTGTCCTGGATGCAGTCGAGAAACTTGGAGAGGCACCAGAACGAGTCCGCCTCGATGATGTTGCGCGTCTCCTCGGGCAACGTCGACATATCGTACTTTTCGAGATCCGTGTCCGGTGATAGGGCCTCCTGGAGAAAGACAATGAAGAAGGGCGTGACCAGGTCGTTGATGCCTTGAACATAGCCCGATGCCGGATGTCGGATGGCCCAGATGAAGAGAACGCGCTCGAACATCTCCTGGACGAGCTGCTGCTGGAACAGCGGTATCTGCGGATTCATGCGTGGCACATCGATATGGATCTGGCGGTACGTGTCCTGTTGCGTCTCGTCTTGGCTATCCACACGGAAGTAGTTGTGTCTAAGGTCCTGGTAGCCCTGCCGCTTGCTCTCCAGCACCGCCATCCGTCGCTCACTCGACGGCGGCAGATATTTCGAGAGTAATCGCCAGCTGACAGCGCGCATCTGAAACGGAGCTCAATTTTAATAATTTATTCTTTGGCTGCGTTAAATTCTCACCTTTCGCGGCACTCCGGACCAACTAATCTTCTTGAGGGCCACCAAATCTAATTGCGGCGAGTCTAACAGCACCTGGAACTTCTCAATCTTCGTCTCGTATTCGCTGTCTTGGCAGTTTGAGCTGATCTTTTGCAACTGGGGCCTTCCCGGGTAGTTCCTTAAGCGCGATCTGTAAATGCAACCTTGATTAATATCCACAGGGTTCTTGCTTGCTTGCATTCTTGACTTTGCTGCAGCACGGTCTGCTGACATGGCTCTGAGGAAAGGGTGGGATAGGGAGTGGTAATCAATAAGGGAACGACTATTGATGAAAGCAGTTATCAGTCCAAAAAGGCAGCCTCATAAATTCTTTACATTCTTTCAACAAGGCCCTAAGGGCTTCCTTATGCGCCTTACGTCACCTAATTACCAGTGCGAAATCCGGGTGTGCACCTCCTCGAACTCTAACTCCACCCCTGACTTGTTTGCACAACTGTGGCGCTGAGTTCAACTTTCTTTTCACCTTCCCTAAGCGCGCTCGCCCCTCACCTGTTTTCATTGCTGTCCGGCAGCGATCGCCGGTCTTCCTTAGTTTCGTCCGAGGAGTTTCTGCTTCCTGAGTTTAGGTCTGCGCCATAACTATTAGCCGGCTTGGATGCGTTGTGGTTCTGGTTACTCCGTGAGTGCGTCTCGATCACATTGAGGGCGACAGTCTGGGACACCTGGCGCGAAATGCGAGCGGCATCTGTGGGGGGAACGGACCATTCCGATCCAAAAATATTGAAACAGATGAGCAAGAAGTTGATTGGCCAGAAAGCTTTTACCGCCGCCTGCTCCTACAGCCGCCGCTGCTGCCGCCTCCGAGCTAATGATGCAGAACTCATCGTCGCCCGTGTCCCAGGCATCGCTCACCGACTGCTGGTAGTCCCGAAAAGTGGACACCATGCCGGTGTTGGGGCCAGCGCCTCTTCCACCAACACCCACAACTCCGGCCCCGACCGACTTATCGAGCTCCCGCTTGGGACTGGGTCGTCCGGGCACCCGTCGTCCGCTGTTTTTCCAAAAGGTCGAGTTCGCGTTGGCCACAACGCTTCCACTTGCTGGGCTCAGTGCTCCGGCTGGAACTACAGCTGCTGGTGTGGTTGTTGTTGCTGTGGAATCTGCTGTTTGGCTTTTTACTGCTCGCTCTACATTATTATCCATCCTAAGGTTCGATTCGATGTCAGCGTCATTATTTTGCATCTACGAACAGTGTGACCCTCCCATGCCTGAGCTGTTGCGGCCGCTGCACGACTTTCCCAACAGTGATGCCAACACGACGTGAGTTCAGGAATGTGTAATCACGTTCAACATAAATTATCATAGGTAATTAAAGAACAATAATAAATGCAAGCTACATTTACTTTTAAATTGGTATTGGGCAAGAATTATTCTAAATTAAAGTTTAATGCAACTTTATTATATGTCAATATTTCTATGTTTTGGATGTTCATTGCCAAAAATCTAAGTCAACTTTAGTTTAATTAAAATATTAATGTTATTTGCGTTAAAAATTTAATTTAGAAAAGTATTCTTCGTATGATTCGTAGGTTAGTTTTTTTAAATGCAACGGACAATAACAACAGTAATCAGTGACTAGTTCCCGAAAGTGCCTCCGTCGACTGCCCTACACCTGTGTGGCATTTCCAAACAACTGACGAACGGTCCCTCTAAATGCAAAACAAGTGTCGTCTTCGGCTTGATAAGCCGCCCGCAATCAACCGATTTCATTATTTTGTAGAACAATTGCAAGCGCTAAAAGTATGCCCTAAGAGGAATTGGCAGGCAAAAAGGTAGTCACTGTGGAACACCGGCAAGAAGATGCAGAAGCAAGAGGAGGTGCTGTCGCGCCTGCGCCAGATATTTGACATATTTTTGCGCGATAACTTTTCCACGACCAACAATGTTTACTTTGAGAAACTCCTCACCCACTTGCAGGCCAAGGGTGAGTGTCTAGTCTGATGTCTGGTCTGGTGTGCTATCAACTAATCCACCGACGTGTTTTGTGCCTTCGCAGAGAACGAGTATGTGCTGCAGGCTCCGTTTGTGGTCGACTGGGTAGACAAGTGCCTCACCATGGTGGTGGAGGATTTCAACAAAATTCACCCAAAGGTCGTCTCGTTCATGCTGAATCTGAGCAGTTATCTGGCGCGCAACGAGTGGATGATTGTGCGGCTGCGGGAGCTGGATATTGTGAACAGGTGAGTGTGAGTGGCGCAGAGATAACAACATGTCGCTACCGCTGGCTAATCCGTGCCTTCGATCTTCGGCTATCAGAATCATAAAACTGCTGCAGTCGGGGGATCGCAACTTCAACCCTTCGATAAAGCTGGGCGGCATTCGTCTGATGAAGGCCATTACAGTGTACAGTATGGGTCTTGCCTTTCTGCGCGTTCACCGTGCCTGGCCCCTGCTCATCCAGTACTCCAATAACGATCACACCCTCTATGTGGTGCGGGAGGCCAGGGCGGTCCTCTACGAGATGCTGTACAAGTCATGCGACAAGCTGCACGACAAGGCCGTGACACTGGAGATCCTTTCCGAGATCATGCAGCCAATCCACGACAATCTGTACAAGAATACCACCGACAGCGAGGAGCGTATCCACATTAAGGTAGACGACAACGAGCTGCTGCACAAAATCTCTGCGACGTTGGACCTGCTCTCCTACATCTTGCAACAGACGCTGGTGCTCGAGGAGCGGACCAGTCTGATAGCGCTGCTAAAGGAGTACCACGACTTTGAGATCACCATATGGAAGTTGATTGACATGACGCACAATCTGTACTTCATCGAAAAGATCTTTACAACGCTCAGCAGCTATAACTTTGCCCTGCTGATGCACGAAAAGTTACTGAATCCGGACTCTGTCGAGCCCCCTGAAGAGTTCACGGAGTTCGGACTATCGTTCTTCAATCTCATGAAATTCTTCATCACCCGCAAGGACGGTGTAAGCTTTGTCAAGCTAGCGGAACTGAATCACGTGCTGTGGAAAAAGCTCGGAGCGCGTGCTCCCAAGGAGATAGTTATACAGCAGGAGCGTGTCACTTTCGAGAACCAACTTATCTGCTTTCACATGCTACCTCTGCTCTTCTCCATGAAGTACGCCCAAAAAATCAGCGACGAGGAGAACAAGGTCGAACTCTTCGACGCCTATGTCGTCAAGCTGTTGGAGATTTCCTGCGAGCAAACTCTGCGACT